AAAAAAAAAAAAAAAAAAAAAAAAACACATCATAGTAAAATTAATACCTTCTCCGCTTCGCATCGAAGCTAATAGCTGGTCGATAACGACTTTTAGACAAGTAATTCGAAAGTTATAAGCAATTTGATATAACAGCTGTAGATAAGTAGGGATGCTACTATTTTTACCATTACACATTTCTCGTGGATATTTTTATTTCTGCCCAGGCATACAACTGTTCTTCCAAAACACTGTTCCAAAAGTTGTTACCGATCAGTCATTTTCTTAAGTAAATCATTATTCAATAAAAAATATACCATATTATATCTGTCGCTATTTAAATTATTTAAACCCTTATAAAAAATAAGGGACAAGTATTAAACTTAAACATACTGAGAACATACTTCATGGTTAATATGTAACAAATGAAAACAAATTATTTATTATTTTATTTTACGATTAAATTGTTTATTTTTCAAGTTACCATAAAAAATAAAATAACCTTTTAATTTATCAAAACAGCCAAGTAAAAATCTTATCATACCAAGAAGATAATTTATTAAAAGTTTAAGATTTTCAATTAATTTTTTTATGGTAAAACTGTAAAAATTATAATTACTAGGCAAGTTATTATCAGAACTTTTTTTTAATGAAATATTTTTGTACTTATTTAAAAAAATTAATTACACAATTTTTATTAGAAGAATTTATTACGAGAATTAATTATGAAAAAATATCCACAATACATACACTACACAACTATCAAAGGTTTAAATTAGTTCATATCTAAATGATTATTATTTTATTTATAGAAAATTGGTATTATGAATTATAGATTAAACGTATAATTAATTATTAAAAGTTACTAGTCTATAATAATAATAGTTAGTAACTCTCTTTAATAGGAGAGAGATATTGATTTATTTTTTTGAGTGAATGTAATATAAAAATACATTGAAAAATAGTCATAAATATAATAATTTTTCCTGCATAATTTAAGGTCAACGAGTTTACTGGTTCTCTTCAGGGTTATACGTTATATCAAAAATGTTTATGCATTCTGTGGTTATTAACTTAATAATTTGGTCAAATTTAATCTTTATTTCGTCATATTCTCTTGGTATAGTCTCAAAATTGTATGAGATGATGTTGTTTTCGTGAGGTTTAGGAAATCCCTCAAATACTTGTGGTAATTTTTGTGTTTTTGTAAAATCACTCGTTTCTTCGGACGTTAAGAATAATTTTGAATATTTCAACATGAAATCATAGATTAATTTCTTAGGACTTAATACAAAACAATTATGTAATATTTTAAAGTCAGACTGTAAGCTATATTCTATGTTATTGGAATTTATCAAAAAAATTTGTGCTTTACTCAATATTTCAGAAACTTTTTTTATTAATTCCAAATTTACATTTTCAGTCTCAACATAGTTTACTATTATATGAGCATATACGAGTAGTAAAAACGCATACTTAAAAATTCGATCATTCATGATTCTTAGTGCTTTTTCAAGAGTAAATACAACATTTTTTTTATACTTAGTTGAATTATTGATGAAATCTTCAAGTGTGATATTGGGTTGAGTAGAAATATCCACGTTAACAATCTCCTCTTTGACATATGGCCATATAGACAGTTCTTCTATCTTATGTAGTTGCATTTTTAAACGATTATCATAAACGGTAGAATGAGCTAAAGTTCTATTATTAGGAAGATTACTCTCCTGCAAAAATTAAATATGTAATTTATATCAAATTGAAGTTTAAATATCTTACTTCGTTAAAAATATATTCTATGCGTCCACGTGTAATCATTAAATATTTAATGATAGATAACTTTTAGATTAGGTAAAAAATTTAAATAATCTGATTTTACGAGTTTTTTATAATGAGAATGTCATCGGTTCTATTTACCCTGTAAGCCGCCTACTCAAATCTGAGTCAAAGAAACTTCAGTGCTAAATATAGAAACTAGTATGGTTGTGTAGTATTAATTTAGTTAATGGAATTATCTGTACAAGACAGTCAGAACCCCTCACAGTAAACTACAATATAAAATTAAAACAAATAACGCTTCAATACGATTATGAATATAGGGAAATTAATTTTTTATTATAATTTTATTTGTTTATTAGATATAAATTTTAAAAATTTCATATTATTGAGTTATTATACACGTATGATCACGAATGATTACAAATAAAGGTGCTAATTGGTTTTTTATGACTTCGATATTCGCAGATATTAGTTAAAATAAAATATTTACTAATATTACTCAAATATTTTATTAAATTCAAAATATAAGTTCCCATTTGAAATAAATATAATTTAAAAACACAGATAAGTCGTAATGTCTACTAATCAAAAGTAGTAGTGAAGTATTAATTTAATTAATGGAATTATCTGTACAAGACAATCAGAACCCCTCACAGTGAACTACAATATAAAATTAATTCAAATAACTCTTCAAAACGATTTTGAATGAAGGACTTAAAAGAAACTAGAAAAAATTTAATAAAAATTTTTACAAATTTTGGCTTAGAGCTACCAATTATATAAAGAAGACAAGTCGTCTTTTACTTTTCTTTCTTTTTATCTTAAAAATGGCTTGATTATAATCACTATAAATATAACGATCAACATGATCACGAAATTACAGATTAATGAACCGTCTAGTTTTCAAAAAGTTAGTTTAATATGAAGTGAAAGCTAAAAATATCATAACCATCTAATTTTAAAATGATATTTTAAATAAAGTGAAAAATATAAATATCAAAATATATTTTGCATATGAACAATTATAAGTATTTAGGTTATAATGTAACTGTATTTCTGTATTATTATGTGAAAAAGTAAGAATTGTTTTGATTTTAATATTTTCAACCTCTTTATTTAAATGTAAAAAGGACAATCTCGCGACAATTTTTTATGAACACCTATATGAATTTGAAAAAGGTTTAAAAATAATATTTTTATAAACATTAAAATTAATAACCACATTATAGTTGAATTATATATTAATATAAACTAAAAAATATTTTTCATTCGTGCAGCACTCTTCACGGGTTATTTACCGATTTCTGTATTTGTGAGCATAAATATTATTTTAATTTTATACTAAACACAAAATAACTATTAAATATTTTTGAGTTATAATTTTATAATGTTTAAATTAATAATTAATTTAAAATAATTAATATCGATACATTTTTATCAATAAAAATATAGCGATCAACATGAAATTAAATTACAAGTTTTCAAAAAGTTAGTTTATATGATGTGAAAGCTTAAAATATCAATATACTGAATATTGTTTTAAAACAATTATATTTTTTTACGTCATTTCCTTTTACTTTCTAAACTTCATTATAATTTATTTAATTTTCAAAAGCATATTTTAAAATTATTTTGTATTAAAACAATTATAAGCGTTTAGGTTATAATGTAACTGTATTGTAGTCTTATTATTTTAAAAAGTAAAATTTGTTTTGATTTTAATATTTAAATTAATTTATTTTAAGTGTTAATATTCACAAGAATTTTATTTAAAAAAAAAAACTTTTTATAAAGAGCCTTATCTACATTTGTATATATTTCGTAATTAATCCTGCTTTTACTTATAAATTAATTTTATTGGCAATGTATTAAAATTTAAAATATAATATACGCGAATATTTTAGTTATACTAATAAACTCACATAAATTTTAACTACTTCGAATTGAATATGTTCGTCTATATTTGTAATGTATGCCATTAAGTTTTGTATACCGCACTCTGTAAATTAAGAAATGAGATAAAACAGGATATAGTTAACATGATCTATACTTACCGTCATATGTGAAGTTTCCTTGTTTTCTTTTGTGTTTTAAAATAATGTTTTGTTCTCCAAACGTCTTTAAAATACAAATAACAGTGATTAAAAAATAATATTTTATATTATCTGTCAAGGTCGAAAGTATTATTGAAGTAGTTTTGGAAGGGCTTCAATAATTTGAAAAAAATGTTAGGAAAACAATATAAATGTTCTATTTTAGTTTTTCTATAAGTTTCAATGAATAATCACAGCAGTCTTATGAAATAATTATTATTGAGATACCTTTTTATTTAGAAAAATTTAAATATTTCAGATGATTTAATTTGTAAGGAATTGTATTCCACAAGCAACATCAACTCCTATTTCCTTAATTATATCCTCATTACTATTGTTATTATATATTTTTTATACTATTTTTCTATTTCCATATAAATTGATAAGTATTGTAATTTTTAAGGAGAAACTATAAAAAACTATTATGAAGTTACATATTTTGTTTGCTCTATAGCAAACGTGTATCATTTTAAGTATAGATTTATCAAAAAAATAAACAGAAAAGAAAGTCAAATTTATTTTTTCGATTTTTCTGACCTTTGTTAGTTACTAATTCTGTTAACTATGAAATTGAAATTAAGTTTATCATAAGCCATTGGAAAACGGAACATATTTTTGTAAAATGCAATTCATTATTTTTAATATACTTAATGTATTGACATTTAAAGCAGCAATATCGTTCATAAATGATTTTTGGCACAAAATTAACATTTTTTTTTTTAATTCAGGGGCCGTTAATACATAAAAAAACAAGTCATCAGGGTAAATTTATTTTCAAAATAAATAAGCTTTATTTAACATATGTAAAAAAAATCCAGTATTTCCGGAACATTTTCAAAAATCAAATTAAAAAGTTAAATTTTAGTGCAAATGTTGGTACTTTGAATTACCCAATGTGGATAAGTCAACGATCAGATTTTCAAAAAAATTATATCAAATTAAAGGGAAAGACCTAAATTTTCAATAAAAATATAATTTATATGGTTCATTTATTTTTAAAAGAGTCATATTAAAGCTATGTAAAAGATGTTTGAAAAAAATGTAAAAATTTACTGATTTTAAAAATTTTAATTTTTTGGGAGTTTTCCATCAATTACTGTAAAGGAAGAAAATTTTTTTAATTTTTTAGGGTAATGTCTTCAATAAGATACGATTTGTGGTATTTTTACGTATTGTTGAGAAAAATCAATCTAGTGAAAGCTGAGAGACAATAGTGACACAAAAAATAAACACATCAGTAAAATTTAATCTTCTAAACCTCGCATCATAGCTAAAAAATTATAAATATTATACTTATTTTTGAATAATTAAGTTGACAAAAATAAAATAATAACCTTATATATATGTTTTTGTGATAACATAATTTATAGAATTAACACAAATTATATGCTTCAATTTCTGAACATTTATAATAAAAGATGCTTACGATTTTAAGATTTCTCTTGATTTTTGGATTTTCAACAACTCGTTCATTCTAAAAAAATTAACAAATATCGATATTTATTACTAAACATGAATACAATTAATTTTATTAGTATTCGATTTATTATTATTATTGTAGATATTTGTGAACTCAAGATATTTTCTATTATAAAGACTAAAAATACAAAAAATTATTAACTCCCTCTCCCAACAAGATAAAAATCAACTTATGCGAATTAAATTTTTTAATATTTTTGGGAAGAATATTGATTTATATTTTTTCTCACTAATCACATGTTTGATTAAATACTTACATAATTCAAAAATATTTCTGCAAAAATGTTTTTATCATTTAAAAAATCCTGAAATAAAATATAAAATATAATTATATCACAATTATTTTGTTTGGTAATAATTATAAATTTTATTCCGGTAATGTTCAAGTAAAAGCTTGAAATAAGCATTATTATGTACAGGTTATAACAAAAGCTCATAAGCCACAAAAATGAGTGTTAAAAATTTAAAAACAAGTATAAAAAAAGTTGATTTCTGTCGTAAGTTAATAATTGAAGATGATAAAAGAGTTTTGTTGTACTACAAAAATGTTAATTTGCATAAAACACCATTGATTTCCTGAAAAATTGCTAAAACAATATGGATTATATTTTCGGAATAGCCTAATATATACAGGGTGATCGAAATCTGGTAAGACACTCATTTTCTCAGTAAATATTGAGAATTTTAAATTTTATTATTGAGAAAAGATATCAAGTTCAAATAACTCTACAGTATTATGTAGTCAAACCATTATTTTTTTGGTCCCTTCAAGGATACAAACCCTTATTTATAATTTTCTTAAACGGCAACCCTTATTTTTAACTTTATAATACGATAGAAAAAAAAATTACAAACAATTTTGTTCTTATAATTTTTTTTATCCGATTATCCGTTCGTCCGTTACAGGATTGTTAAAGTTAAGTGATTTTAGACCAAATTTCTATTGTGATTTTACTGTATTAAATACAGAAGTCATTATTTTTATTTGCTGTTGCATAAACCAAATTTTATTGATCAAGTTATGACAGGTAAATTAGCTATACAAATTTACTACGCATTAAATGAGTGATAACAATAATAGATTAAAACCGGGTTTTCGGTGTATTATTAATAGCTAAGTCTATGGTTTTGTTAGACTAAAGGTCTAACAAAAATACCGGTTGTACTGACAACGATATTATGAAACGTAATAAATGACAATATTACTTTTGGAAGTCAAAATATTTAAACAATTATAAAACGTAAACGGTTGTTTGGGATAAAAAAAATAATAAGAACAAAATTGTTTGTAATTTTTTCTATCATATTATCAAATCAAAAATAGTGGTTCCCATTTAAAAAAATTATAAATAAACATTTTTATCCCTGAAGGGATAAAAAAAAAATTATTTAACTTCATATTATTGTAGAGTTGTATAAACTTAATCATTTTTCTTTTTACAAAAATTTTAAATTCTCAATAGTTTCTGAGAAAATAAGTGTCTTACCAGATTTCGATCACTCTGTATATATATATATATATTTTAGAGCTTTCTTGCTCTAAGTACTTGATTACACCTTTCTATCCGACAGATATTATTACCGTGAATAAAATCTCTATACATAGCACTTGTATGGTAAATAAACAATTTTACGTAGTTAAGAAACGGTCGGTATTCTATCATTATTATCTTTGCAAACACGGTGGGCAATTAACGCGTAGGCCAGGGGTGTAGTTTACCAAAGACACTAGAGATCAGCTGTTACGATGATGTACTCTACGGTGTTAGTGACAACTGGTCCACAAGGGCTTTGTTGAAGGCGCTCTCTACCCAACCTACCAAACAAGTTAGAAATCTTAATTATTTATGGAATAGTAAACAATAACAATTATAAATTATTCCTTTAAATATTTACTTATATAATTATTACAAACAATTCGCTCATTTTTCTAACAAAATATTTTTTTGGATATGACAATACACTTTTAATGAGTGCGTATGATTGCTCCATACAAAATGTACAGTATTACCCCAAAATACAATTATTTGGCTTCAATGAAAGCTCAGGAGTTATTGGTATAGTTATGGTGTGTCTTATTTTTATGTAGGTTCATGAAGATTGTCAGCTTTCACTGTACTCATTTTATTGATCATAATGTCAAAATAATTCAAATTTATTCTAGTCGAACCTAATCATCGCCAAGAATTCCAAAAAAAAAACTCAATTTTAGAAGAAAAAAAAATATCATAAAATTAAATTGACGTAAAAATAATATTTTCTAATAAAACCATTCTGCGTTTTAAAAATTAAATAAATGTAAGCCAAAAATCGCAAAAGTTCTGTATAAATACTTCATTTTCTTTCTTTTTTCAAAAATACACTGATTCTATTAAATTTTAACATTAATAAATTGAATATTTTTATTATGTTTTTCCTGAAAATTCAATTTAATCCTAAGTACACAAAAGTTTTGAAATAGAATACTCACGACATTATCACATATGCCAATTAGCAAGCAATCAGTCGATATGTTAAAATCAGAATATTTACGAATTATATAAAATTATATAAAACGAATTGNAGCTTAAAAGTTTTTGATTATGAGGTTTTTCAAAAACTTGAAATTTTATACCACTCAATTCCGTTTTTATTTTTTGGTAGTTAAAAATAAAATAATGATAATAATTTATTAAATTGTGTACATGTGTTGAACAGGTGTGATAATCATTGTCGTAATATTAAACAAAATACTAAAGGAAGTGTAGAATAGATACGAAGATGATGATGAGTCTGCTGCCTGTTTTTTCACGTATGTGTGACCCGACAGTAGTTACTGTACTTGACTGACACTTTGTAATGGCTGTAGGTATCAAAAAGCCGTTGTTATAACAGAACAAGTGTAACAATTAGATATGAGGCGCAAACGAAGTGCAAAGCACTAGTACTTCAAAAAGGGGACGGGGAGCCGAGTATGAGGTGTAGACGAATTGCATGTTACAAGTACACTGAAATGTTGAGGACAAAAGTTGGTGGGTGCAAAGGAACATGACTTTATAAGACATATAAGAACAAATATTAAAAACACAAAGACATGACTTTATACAGTGTGCAGTATGCAGTAGACAGCGACAACCGAGTACTGAAACTGGCGAATAAATTGATATAATCAATTGTAATGTTTGAATTTGATTAAAAACTCATAATAACTATAATTTTATCAAATTGTGTACACATGATGAATAGGGTGAGATGATGATTTTTGTTATATACACCCTGATCTTCTATTAATTAAACCGATTATAAAACTACTTAAAATAACTCCTTACGATCGTTATACGTCCACACTGTAGAACCTAAAATAAAAAAAAAATGTTTTTATCAATCATTGTAAAATGATATCACAACATAAGTAGCAAAATTCACAATAAAAACATACTGTTTTTACTGAAGATGTGAAACAACCAGGCTTAGGAATCATTTTAGCGTCATAATTCTGTAACATAACCAATAAATGTTAATAGTGTTTATTTTAATTTTAAAAGAGTTTAATTCATACATTTTAATAAATCAATCTAGTAATGTATGATACTTACAAATCTCGTTTTATTTGGCATATTTATAATATGAATTTCTGGTTCCTATATAAAAAAAAATAGATTAGATAATTTGCAATACACATTTAGCATTGTTAATTACAATAAGCATAAAAAATTATTAATTTCTAAAATAATAATTTATGGTGTTTATGAAAAAGAAAATTTTATGATGATTTTCTTAGTTTTAAGAAAGTGATAGGTGTGAGATTTCACACTACCAAATGTCACATAGAAATTAAATAAAACGCATCTTAACTATATTATTAAATTAAATATCACTTAATAAACTTTTCAAATTACTTGGCCAATTAAAATTATGTTTCCAAAAACATCACCAAAATAAAAATCAAATACAAGAATTAAAACAATAAAATAAGTTTTGTAAATCATTTCTTAAGAATATTAAAATTGAAGCTGTATAAATGATCAACTTATATCATAAAATTATTGTTTTCCACAAAAGTCTGGCATTTTTATACGTACTAAAGTAAATAAAATATTAAAAATAAGCGAAAATTAATTTAAACTGTACCGTAATAACATATTTTTCATATTATTATTCTTTTCTTTTTTTTTTTTTTTGATAAATGAACACAAAGTTTGTTTAAACGTTTGTTTAAAATATATTTCACAATTTACTTAAAAATAAATTGTTTTGAAGTCGAATGCAAGTAACTGACCAACGTGTACAATATGCTGTAAACGGTACTGTGATGTATCTCAGAAAATATATAGACCCAACGGCGATAAAACTGAGCGCACAGCGTGCGACGATCGCAAAGGTGATATTTAATTTTACAACAAAACGAATACAAATACTGCTGACTCGCAAACGCCATAGAGCTTATAGCTGAGGAAGCGTTAAGATGGCGGTGACTATGCAGACGTAGAGAGAAGACCGACAACAACTCGATGTAACACAACGATAACATGAATAATCACAACATAATTACTCGATAGCATATTCGACCGATGTGTATCCAACAAATTTTTTTAATGTGTGCTGTTATATAATACGTAATCCAATAATACGGTCGCACAAGTTATATATACACAGACAAAATATAGTTTTACAATAAAAACTAACAATAGTAATAATGCGAACAATTCTATATATATATATTTATAAACAGATAAAGTATACGAATTCGCATAAGAACACAAAATTAAAACAAACGGAGCAACGAGTTAAGGAACAAAACGCATCATCAGTAATACACGGTCGGCGGCGACCTTGTCATGGTGTCAAGGGCGGGGAGACACCGATGACAACCGATTGTCATATGGATCGGTGGACGGCTGATATCGTGAGAGACACGGATGGCGCCAGCCTAGAGCGTAGCTCGGTGCCGTGTCATATATTATTTCTTAAAATAGTAGCTTATAACAAGATATTATCATTTTTGCATGTATATCACATATTATAAATATTCCAAATCGCCAAAATAGAGTTTCTCATTTGAAATAAAAAAAGTCAGTTAATTATAAAATTTGATTCCAATAAACTAAGGTAAAAATTCTATATTGAAAAAAATAATGTAATTTTATAGTTATGAACCAGTTGTTGATGGATATCAAATATTACACTAATTTTAGATGTTTTTTCATTCGTTCTAAAATTATACAAGTAAAATTGAATACATTTATAGATTATAAAATTTGTCGTAATTCTATGTTATAAATCACTCTTTATGAATATTATTTAAGTTTATAAAATAATTTTTTAAGACTTAAATGTGTTTCGATTGGATGTTGAATATTTATATTAATTAATATTGAGTATGACATAATCTTATTTTTGTCATTCAATAAAATGAAAAAATAATTAATTTGTGATGGAAATTCCGCGTAACTATAGTAGTGGATAACACTTTTTTATTCCAATTATAATTAAATATTACGATATTGAATTGCAAAGTAGTAAATATTCAATAAACTTAATGATTATTTTGTTATTTTTAGTAAAAAATATATACAAGGAGCCCATTACGAAAAATTCATCTCCGTGCATCGCCTTTTTCTGTGGCGTACGACAATCTTTCGAGTAACGAATCATGTGAAGATGAAGTGTTGCTACATCCTCAAACGATCGTCGGCCATTTCTTCTACTAAAACTTTTTTATTTATTATTTTGGGAGATATTATTGAGAAAGATAATAAACGGTTAAATGCCACCTAGCACGTAACGTTCTGTGTTTTACATTAATTGTTCTACATCATTTCACTTAAAACATGGAGTAAGAGTCTCTTTTGTTATTAATTTTATTTCTCTTCATTACTCATTAAATTGAGTTCGAATCTCATTATTAATAAATAATACTTAATTTTAAATAGTTTATCAGGCTTAAGAAAAAATAATTTTTTTATAACTAAGATATATTACTAAGTATATGCAATATTAAANCAATTTACTTAAAAATAAATTGTTTTGAAGTCGAATGCAAGTAACTGACCAACGTGTACAATATGCTGTAAACGGTACTGTGATGTATCTCAGAAAATATATAGACCCAACGGCGATAAAACTGAGCGCACAGCGTGCGACGATCGCAAAGGTGATATTTAATTTTACAACAAAACGAATACAAATACTGCTGACTCGCAAACGCCATAGAGCTTATAGCTGAGGAAGCGTTAAGATGGCGGTGACTATGCAGACGTAGAGAGAAGACCGACAACAACTCGATGCAACACAACGATAACATGAATAATCACAACATAATTACTCGATAGCATATTCGACCGATGTGTATCCAACAAATTTTTTTAATGTGTGCTGTTATATAATACGTAATCCAATAATACGGTCGCACAAGTTATATATACACAGACAAAATATAGTTTTACAATAAAAACTAACAATAGTAATAATGCGAACAATTCTATATATATATATTTATAAACAGATAAAGTATACGAATTCGCATAAGAACACAAAATTAAAACAAACGGAGCAACGAGTTAAGGAACAAAACGCATCATCAGTAATACACGGTCGGCGGCGACCTTGTCATGGTGTCAAGGGCGGGGAGACACCGATGACAACCGATTGTCATATGGATCGGTGGACGGCTGATATCGTGAGAGACACGGATGGCGCCAGCCTAGAGCGTAGCTCGGTGCCGTGTCATATATTATTTCTTAAAATAGTAGCTTATAACAAGATATTATCATTTTTGCATGTATATCACATATTATAAATATTCCAAATCGCCAAAATAGAGTTTCTCATTTGAAATAAAAAAAGTCAGTTAATTATAAAATTTGATTCCAATAAACTAAGGTAAAAATTCTATATTGAAAAAAATAATGTAATTTTATAGTTATGAACCAGTTGTTGATGGATATCAAATATTACACTAATTTTAGATGTTTTTTCATTCGTTCTAAAATTATACAAGTAAAATTGAATACATTTATAGATTATAAAATTTGTCGTAATTCTATGTTATAAATCACTCTTTATGAATATTATTTAAGTTTATAAAATAATTTTTTAAGACTTAAATGTGTTTCGATTGGATGTTAAATATTTATATTAATTAATATTGAGTATGACATAATCTTATTTTTGTCATTCAATAAAATGAAAAAATAATTAATTTGGGATGGAAATTCCGCGTAACTGTAGTAGTGGATAACACTTTTTTATTCCAATTATAATTAAATATTACGATATTGAATTGCTAAGTAGTAAATATTCAATAAACTTAATGATTATTTTGTTATTTTTAGTAAAAAATATATACAAGGAGCCCATTACGAAAAATTCATCTCCGTGCATCGCCTTTTTCTGTGGCGTACGACAATCTTTCGAGTAACGAATCATGTGAAGATGAAGTGTTGCTACATCCTCAAACGATCGTCGGCCATTTCTTCTACTAAAACTTTTTTATTTATTATTTTGGGAGATATTATTGAGAAAGATAATAAACGGTTAAATGCCACCTAGCACGTAACGTTCTGTGTTTTACATTAATTGTTCTACATCATTTCACTTAAAACATGGAGTAAGAGTCTCTTTTGTTATTAATTTTATTTCTCTTCATTACTCATTAAATTGAGTTCGAATCTCATTATTAATAAATAATACTTAATTTTAAATAGTTTATCAGGCTTAAGAAAAAATAATTTTTTTATAACTAAGATATATTACTAAGTATATGCAATATTAAAAAAAAATGCATTTTTTTTTTACCTTAGGTTATTCTATTATACAAATTTTTAAATAACGCCTACGAACATAATTATTAAAGTTATATTTGTGATTAAAAATACATAGTTTTTAAATTATTTTACATATAAAAACTATCGTATATTTTTATTCAACTAAATTGTATTTTTTTTAATGAAATCGTTCTCATAAATACTTATATTAGTTTTTAAACTCTTTGTAGTTTATACATTTTTTTTTAATTTCTAATTGAAATTTATAGAACTAATGAGCAACCCTAAATTTTTTTCATTTAATATTATGACTTTTTTTTCTCTTGGTAATCTATGTTACGCCGCCCGAATATTTCTTTAATTAAAAGGAATTCTGTATATAAAAGAGTAAATGAGACAGCTCGTTTTTTTTTTTATTATTATTATTGAAAACTATCATACTTTCTAAAAAAAATCATTAGTTGAGGGTTTTTATGATTTCAAATAATCATTTTTTTTTAATTATTACTAAAAGTATAGACGGTTTTTTTCTTCTCATTACCATTAAAATTCTATTAATTTGATAAGTTCAATCTACAAATTAGAAATTAGATTCGATTCGAATCTGAAAAGGTATTAATTCTATTATGATATGCATTTTTATATCTATCGCCACTTTTACTCAGCTGTCATAGGACCGTTTTTTTCAACGATACTTCAAATTAATTTCCATATTTTTTTAGCAGACTAAGAGAGTACATAATTGGCTGAGAACTAAAATAACCCGGGACCTAGAATATTGAGGATCCAATATAGTGAACTATTGTATGGATTGATATCTGACACTAATATCGTCACTAAAACGCTTTGATGCAATATTTTATACATTATTTTACAAAGAAAGACTCAAAAAAAAATATTTAATTTGAACGCAAATCTGACAAATTTTTTTAATTAAACGGAAAATTAATTTTAATATAGAAAATTGTTAGAACGCTCATTTTTAACTGAAAGTGTATTTAAATATCTTTAATTCGAAGTTTCAAAAATACAGACATTCATTAAAAATTAAAATAAAAAATGTGGTACGCATAGATGATCTTGTTCAAATCAATTCTATTTTTAAGTTTTCCGTTGGATTTATATGAATACCACACTACAAAAAATATTACTGTCTTTAATATATTATATTAAAATTTTATAAAGATCAATTATTTTTTTNATAACTAATAATTTATTATTTATATTATATTTAACTTTATAATGCTATAACTTATTGAAAAGTTTATGGATCCACACAATTTTTTTA